TGTTTGCCATGAATTAATACATACAGGGAAACCCAGAGTAGAGCACAGTATCAGCCACATTGCATCATGTTTCTAATCTTTAATTTACTCCGCACTCTATTTCATACATATTATTCATATCACAAATATGATTAAATATCACTTGTAAAAATGTTTGCAGTATAAATAAACACAATTTTACGTTTACATTTCGAAGATTTTATATTTACCTTTTAAATCTGGTATTATATTTGGATTTTACATTTACATTTAAAATAACGTTTATAACATTTAAAATAATTTGAATTTTGCGTTAAAATTTTGAAGAATCATGCACATTTGTCACATCATTCTTTAGATTAAGAATAAAATAAAAAATTCCACTTCAAATTATAACAATTTTGCTAACACAGGAAGAGCATCGCAAACTTTAAAGCTTTACAAAATCGTCGAAACGAGAACTGTGTATTACTTCAATATGAAAATTGCGTTTTGCCATAACGGGAGAAATGAGCACTTCTAAGTTTTAAATTCCATTTTATATAAACACGATGATTTCCATACTTTCATGGCGCTTACGTAGATATGATGTTCACTTTAACATTTTCTATGTTATGCAGCAGTTTTTGTTTCTCAGATGTGAAAAATGCTCAGTTTCAATATTATGTTCTTCTAGCATTCGTGTGGATAAGACACTGAACACTGGTAGTTTAACTATGACCTTAACCTTTTGAGGCCGGGGCTTTGGTAGCAGTAAAAGCTACCAAAGGATGGGGAATCTTGAACCGAACGCTTTCCCCCCTTTAAGAAATCACCTCCTATTTGCAACAAAGATTCTTGTGTTTAGTTTAATGGATTCTCAGAGGAGTGCATCTATGTCGCAAAAGGAAGACCTTTGAAAGAGATAAGTGGTTAAAACCCTAGGGACTTCAAATTTGACATTTCACCCCACTTTTCAGCCTGGAAAATGGGGGAAAAAGACATGGCCACTAAAGTGGACAACCCCGTCTTTTCAAAGAGAGGACTCTATGGCCACTATAATGGCCATCCCGTCTTTAAAACGTTAATCTCGGTGGATAGGCTGGCTACCTGATCAGTTGAGACTTTACCAGTGGCCCAGTGATCAAGAACCTTGAATGCTGGAAGATCCACACATGTGTGATCCAAGGCAAGCGGGGTGGCTGCATGGTTGGTTATCATGGTTTTTCTATGTGTAGAATGAATACAAGTCATTTGCCCTTAGAACTTCCTCACGAATCGCCCAGAAGGTATAAAGGTTAGGGGAGTAAATCGCTGAGTTGTCTTCCGACCCAGGTATAGATATATCCATGCAGAATTGTTACCAACTCAGCGGGAGTTAACCGCTATCTGCCAGGCCGCAGCCCTGAGCAGCCCCGGCTGAGAAGACGACATTTATAAAATGAAAATAATAATAATAATAATAATAATAATAATAATAATAATAATGCCCCCCCCAAAGAAAGAAAAAAGAAAAGAAAGGGAGCATAGTGCGGATCCGAAGGGACCGCTTTGATTGCCAAAGAAGACATTGGTGTTTGTAAATGTGTAGTGCCCGTTCAGCATGGGGGGCACTCTAAATATGCGGTGAGCCAAAAGTACTTTTGTTTAGTTTGGAAGGGAGAGGCGTGGGACACTCCCCGAACCACCCTTCAGGGAGCTGTCTCTCAAAATTGGGGGGGGGGAATAGAAGTCCGACCCCTCTTTGGATTAGGCTCTGGCAACCATTGTTCCATGTAATATAAACGCGACAACAACAAAGTCCTCCACGAAGTCATCCCTCCCCTTAGGCAGGAAGCCCTCGTTTGCTTTGTTTAGAATTTTCTCCATTTGTAATGTGAATGCAAGCTAGTTTCTTTTCGAAAGTCATCAATGAAGGCATTTTTGTCCTTACACAGACAGCCAACCGCGTGCTTTGGCATAAACTGATTAAGTTAACCTTGTTTTATAAAGTTTTATTTATTAGATTAAATAACATAACTTATGGGATAAATATATTATTTAATCTTATCGACATATTTCCCCCTCAAAATATTACTCTTTTAAGTAATACCAATTGCATACGCATTGTCTAACATTTAAAAGCATATTAAGATAATTTATAACTTATTCCTTAATTCATAGTTAATTATTCGTAGGATTAGGCTGATATGTAGATGAAATTTTGCTCATGTAGATAAAATCTTGTAAGATGTTTTTTTTTTTTTTTTTTTTTCTCTAAAAACATTTTTAAATGTACCGTGATTTTATCCACACTTAGGCCCAAACTTATATAACTGCTAGTTTGGCAAGCCACATTTTATATAATAGGCTTACCATAATATTTTTTGTTAAAACTGTGACAATACTGAGAAAATAATCATAACAGAAAATAAAACCTACTAGGATAAATACATATGATTGAAAAGGCTAAATAAAGGCATTGTTAACAAGAAATAATAAGGAATTAAAAAGAAATTTTAATAACTCAAAAGATTTTACCTTATTTTCAGTATTTATTACTGTGTGTAAAGAGATTCAAAATCAGTTTAGATTAACAATCGGCTGATTGAAACCTGTGATTGTGAATAGCAACATGAAATGCAAAAATTTTCATCAGATGTTATTAAGAATACTTTGTCATTTAAATCGGCGCCCTTAGCCCTCAGGCTGCTCACCCGCGATTTCTACGGACAACTCAAATGTAGCAAAATCTGCTCATCCCACGGTCATGTGTTTTTCTTCCTTTATTAAGGAGCAAATCCCGTTTCTTTCCTGTTTAACAACTGAAATAAAGCCGCCCAGTCGGTATGGTGGTCAGGAAAGCTGACTGCGATGCTGAAGGGCCTGTGTTCGAATCCCGGAGAAGGCATGGTTGTAACTTCCGTCCCTTCATAGGAAAGGCGATGGTGGCCCACCTATTAGGTGCCTCCATAATAAAGAGACCATCGCATCCGGCCTTGTATAGATTAATGGACTGGGTTACATTTATAATTGTTCACGATCTGCCATTGAAAAAAAAAAGAAACACTGAAATAAATTATATACGGTATTAGACTTTTCGTTTTGGCAAACAGATAGCGTTAATTGCCCACTAAATTGCGGCATTTAAAGGCTAGTGTATTACCGCTTAAACTCCACTTTTTGCCGCTTTTTTCTTACAGAAATGGCTGCTAGAAAACATTCAGCGATTATCTTGATTATTTAATTAAATTATTGAATTATTAATTAGATTTATTGAATCTGGTGCAAAGTCTGTGAAGTTGGACTCTGCCTTGAATCCTGTTTTGAACTCTGTCATACTAAACTGCACTTCTAAAGTATTTTTTCCTCAATGCTTTATATTTTCTTAAATTTTATACATTTTACTTTTTTATATTATGCAATAAATAGAAATTAACTGTAATTAATGAAATTTATTAAATAAAATTTTTTGGGGGTGATAGCATCTGAAATTGGTTTTTCTGGAAACTTAGTTTCTCGGGATAAAAATCTACATAAAAAAAGTATTTTCTATTGTTTCATATGACACTGCTGAAACATTTAGTTGTGCATCTCCCTTTTTTATTACAATCGGCAATAACAAAACATATATATATATATATATACATTTAGAGAGAGATAGTATGTATATACTTCCTTTACCCGGCTAAAAGTTCTTACCCAGCCTTTAGTTTCGCAGCCGTTGGTTGTAGTCATATACTTCCAATTACAGAAGTGTTTTAAATGAAGAAAATATTCATATTTTGCAAATATCAAATTAAAAGAAAAATTATTTTCAACAAAATTTTTCGACAAAGTTAGACTTCGGCTTTCGAAGTTCAGCTTTTGATGCAATCTGCCGTTTTCTATGCTTATATTTGGGAAAGTTTTATACTCGCTATGAAAAAATAAAATTGTAAGGAGTTTGTTTGATTCCCGTATAACAACGGTAAAGAAAAAACTGGTAACTACGGTAACACTTTCCGACTGCGCAGATAGTCTCGCAGACGATTTTCACAGACGATGTGTTAGCGCGGAGAACATATACAAAAATATTAAACAAATCCCATCCGTACTCTGTTAAGAGTATATTAAGAATTAACAAGAGATCAAATACAACACAAATAAGTATAACACAAATTAATAAGTATAACACAAATACAATTATCATAATACAAATAGTATTACAGGATCATACACTATTTAATGACATTTGTTATGCGTAACACAATATTAAAGGAGAAATTTCAGGTTATTTCAAGTGGATAAATTAACTGGATTGGTCTTTTATATTGTCTCTTGTCAGTTTGAATAACACATGAACGTACATGTCCGTCACGACCAGTAAAAACCTCTTCGACAATACCCAGTGACAAGAGAAATTTTGATTTAGCGGCCTCCTCAAGCAAAACTACATCTCTTTTAAGAACCTTTCCTGGTGATGGATTTACAAAATTATGTGCATTTTTCAATTGCATCAAATAATTATCTTTCCATTTCATCCATAGTTGACGTAAACGTTTAGTCTGATATAATTTTTGATGAGTCAAAGTTTCCTTTCCAGAAGGTTGACTGCCGAAAATTTCAACCATATGTATAGGACAGCTAACATTCTCTTGACCAGGAAACAAAAAATGGGCCGGAGTAAGATTTGTTGGTTCATTTAATTCCTTGCTTACGTAAGTAAGGGGTTTATGATTTAATACCAATTCGATTTCCGCTAGAATGGTCGTAACTTACTCGAAGCTAAGACAAGCCTTTCCAAGGACTTTCCTTAAAGGGTCCTTTAGAAGTCTCTTATAGAACCCACCCCACCATAGGCATGAGGGACAATAAACTGCCACGTTATTTCATGCAGAGCAATAAAAGTTTTTAAGTCCGAATCAACCAAAATTTGGGCGAAACCTTTCAAAATGTTGTCTGTGGTCTTAAAAGTCTTAGCATTATCAGAAATGACGACCTTACAATTCCCCTTTCTTGCCAAAAAACGATGATAACTTAAAAGATAAAAGAAAACTTTTCGTCGACATATCAGTAATTAATTAGATATGAAGTGCTCTAGTAACTCCACACGTGAAGAAGGCTATGTGTGATCTTTGTTGAGTGTCCTTTCTGGAACGAAGAAAGACTGAACCTGTAAAATCAACTCCAGATACAGTAAATGGAGAATTTTCCAATATTCGATCCTTTGGCAACTGAGTTGTTATCTGTTTAGCAGATTTTACAGAATCCCTGTTGCAAATGAGACAATTTTTTAAAACTTTCTTTACAACTTTTCTACCCTTTGGAATCCAAAACATATTTCTAATTTTAGCAAGCGTCGCAGATACTCCAACATGGTGAATTTTGTTATGCTCCCTTAAAATTAATAACTTTGTGAATTTCGACTGTGTGGGTAGTATAACTGGATTGATTTCATCAATGGCAAAACTGCTTTGCTCAAGCCTACTTCTTACGCGCAAAATATAGTTTTCATCTAAAAATGTGGCTAGCTTATAAAGAGACGATTGCTTAGGAATTTGGGTACCACATTTAAGGCATTCTAATTCAAAACAGTATACAAATCCTTGTTTATACTTTATCCAGTCTTGTTCTGCCTTCAAGAGTTCAAATGCAGGGTAAGATCCCATTTTTCACATGTTCTTTTCTAAGTTTACCAAAGAATCTTTTAATTAATACCGTAATTTTCAGTACCTTGGTTAGGTTACTATAGTTTTTCAAATATAAAATGAGTTGAGAATTCTCGACTGCATATTTACTTTGTGTTACAGTTCCAAATTCCTTTCTCAATTCTAAATCCTCAGTGAGATTACCGGCCGATGCACCAATATATCAAACATGTCGTCCAAATAGACAATTAAACACAACTTCAGATCTTTAGAACAAACATTTTTCTATTTATTTTTAATACCGTAATACTGAACAAAACAATTTAATTTCAAATTTTGCAATTTTTGATGTCATTTTCAACTTGCCTTGACGGATCACTTAATTAAGTAAGAATAATGCGAGGAAATACTTTTAAACAAATAGAGCGAAAAAGAAAAAAAAAATGTATAATTCAAAAGGCCATACAAGGAAGTCCATACGTGTCCACATCAGAGTTTTCATATTTATACCTGGAAAAAATTATGATGACCATAATAACATTGCTGGTGACAATGTTGGGACTTAAAATTGAAAGAAGTGGAAATACGTACAAAGGTAAATTATCATACTCTTAACCTAGGACATGGTAAAAACTCAGCTTTTTTACTTCTTTGTACGAAGTAAGAAAGAAGTATTGTAATCGCGAGAAGTTTCAGGCAGTATATTTCAACAAAAATATCCATTTTGATCGCTATCGAATGCAACTTAACAATTTTTTGTGAAAAACTGTACGTAAGGACAGAATAGAAAACTCTTTTCCCCCAAAAAAATTGTAAAATTGCTTTAAAATGAATTCTGAAGAGAATTTTTAGTGGCGTCTGTACGTACGTGCGTACGTACGTATCTCGCATAATTCTAACACGAGTAGCCTTGGAACGTTGGAATTGTGTATATAGGACTGCTATAACATGTACAGTAGATGTGCACCTGGTATTTTGGTTGCTATCGGCCGCACCAAACGTATATAAATATATTTATATATATATCCACTTTGTTACCCGGCTCAGTGATCTCAGTTTCTTTACTCTTATATGTTTGTAAATTGTGCATTTTTTGCAGTAAAAAATGATTGAATTATGTTGTTTTTATCTTCCGGTTAAGGTTTTTATGCCTTTACTAAATCTGCAAGCAATATTTGAACAATTATCTAGAATTTAAAAGCTGTTTAAGTTCGGCTAAGCCTAATTTTTAAATAACATGGCGGACATATTTGTTTACGTTTGACACCGCAGAAGAGTAGATTTGTTGCCAATATAGAGAGACTAAGCTTCGCAACAATAAAGATAACGCCTTCATTTATTATTGCGAATTAAATCATGCTTAATCCTTTCTTTAATTTTGTCAAGGAAATAAGTGTTTAGGATTTACTTCGTCATTTTTAATATAGATATTTTGGGTTTTTATGTATTTTTGCCTTGTCGCGAAGCGAGAACTTAATTAATTGAACGAGAAATACTGAATCGTCTGTGAAAAACTGTTTTTGTTTTGTTTGCTTAATTTCTTTTATACATCGTTCTAGATGTATTATAGTATTTGAATAGAACATGTGGCAAAGATTAGATAATTCTTCAAATCGTATAAAGTTTGTGCATTCTGAGTTATAATATGAACTAAATATAACGCTGTCAGGTGAAGCTAGCGCCTGAGCGTTGCTATGGTAAACAAATATGGTGAATTTTAAAGAGTGCATTTATCCTATTGTGGTTTACGCGCTACCGAAGAAGTAGATTTAAAACAATCCCATAAGTTTAAATTAAATGCTAGAAAAAATGCGTATAATTTAATATTCCGTACAAGGAAGTCATTTGGTGTGCACATCAGATTTTTCTAATAGTAAACTTTATACTTTTATACTTATTTTAATATATAATTTTTTCTAATAGATTTTCTAATAATAGCATAATTATTTTCAGTATCTTGCAATTTAAAACTCGGAAGCTTGACATAAATTTTTAAATTGTTGCAGGAAATAGTAAAACATTCCAGAAAGTATTTAAAACCCAGATACAAAACTAAAAGTTTTCCCCATACACCCTTTTCCCAGTTTTCAACACTTCTGGCAAGCGGCTGGAGATACGTTTCAGTGAGCACCTGATAAGGACGTGAACACTATTACTTTTTTTAGCATCCTGATAAGAGTGAGAAGTGGAGGAGTTGTTAATTGAGAGCTAAACGTTCAGGAATGGCTCCGCACGTCCACCCAGATCAATAATTTGCGACGCTGAGCTCTTTTCCGAGGTCGGCTGAAAGAGGCTTATTCAGCGATCGGTCCGCTGCACCTTCTTCATGCCATTACGGCCTCGCGAGGCATTAGATATCCTCCTCCAATCGAATTTTGTCCTTCTCTTGTGCATGACATTTCCATAGGCAGTTACAGTGATCATATCAAAGTTCCGCGGTCCCCACCAGAGAAAGCGGAAGTTGATACTGCTCTAATGGTAGAAGCTTCCGTCCATCCATCCACAATTATCTGGGAGTTGGCAACCGAATTTATTAGGATCTTCTCTTCTTTTGCGGATATTATTCTGTTTCTGACCTGATAAGGAAATTATTGGTTCCAGATCCGTGAAGAGGAAGAATTCTCCACGTTTCTGTAATCCATTCTTTAGGTTTATAGCCAGAAATCACATTTTTAGCATCTAGTCCACTTCTTTTATCTGTTTTATCATATTATGTATATTTAAGAAAAGTATTTTATCATTTTGCGATGCTTTACATGCAAGTGTTTTTTCGTTATTACGCAGCTTTTGGGCCAACATTGAATTGTCGTTACATTATATAAAACATTACATGAAAAATTTTACGTCATTTAAAAAATTATTTGGTTAATTTTCCTTAAACATTTATAAAACTGTGTTTTTCTTTAAAACAAAATTTCCTAATGGAAAATGTAAAATATTTGAAATTTAATGTAAATATAAAGTAAAAGAATTTTTTTTCATACATTAAGTTACTGTTGCTTCTAATCTTCATAATCTCAAAAGACCTTCCAAAGAAATCCATGATTTCATCACGACCAAGAAGCAGTGGGCGTGGCCAACGCTTCGGCGTCTTTCAGGTGATAGGAAGTTTCTACCAAACTCCGTCCCAATTTTGAAGGAGAACGCCTCGGGGAACGCATTCGAGATTCTCCTACCCGTCTTTTTCTAAAACCAGCCTTCCGAGTGTACTTCAAGCTCCATAGCACTTTAAAGTGCCCCTTTCTGCAAGGATTCTACACATTTACAATTATACGCTCTTTTTCCGGGGTACTCTTATAAGGTATTTCTCCCACTATCCTAACGTCCTTCGTGGTGTAGTTGTTCCGCACGCTGGGCCGGTATTCCAGAGGCCCGTGGTTCGATTCCCGACGAAGGCGTTGCTAATTTTTTATCTTGCCTGCTTCCAAAAAAATTCTAATGACTCTACACTCTTACCATAGGACAATTTTTGTCTCCGTGCTCGGGCCCACCAACGGTCGGGTGGTAAGATCGCTGAACGCTGGTAGTTCGGACCTAGGTTCGGACTCGTTCCAGGGGAACGAGCTGGCTGCATGTGTGTGTCCGTGGGTTTCCTCATGTATAACGTATATACAAGCCCGGTTCCCTCAGAAAGTCCTTCACGAAGGCATCTCTACCCTTAGACTGATAGCCCTAGTGTGCTTTGTCATAATCAACTAAACCTCGCCGTGTTGTTGATGAAAATTGGGATAGATGTGAGCAAAATGTCGTAGAACCACCTAAAATGTGCCCATTCCTTTGCCAATGACAGATCCTCTCATACTCTTGACCACATGGACTTCGTGGGCCTTCCCTGAAAATCAGAAGGATCAGGGACCACAAGTTTCCTAAGGTGACCACTTTAACGACTGTTTTCTTCTTTATATATTTATTCATAGTAATAAAATTATGCTTATTTAATATAAAATTAAATAATATTTTGCTGTAATTAAAGAAATCAGAAAGAAATTTTTTCTTTGCTAATAAGTAAGACAGGTATCGTCGCATCTTCCGCGCCCTTTGGCAATCTTTAGATTATTCCAATGACTGAACCAATTTTTTAGCGAAATGTAAAATAACTGAAGCTTACAACTAGTATGTATCAATGTACACCCAAAAAATGTAATAAAATAATTAAACAAAGAAATGTTTTAGATTATTGGTTTAAAATTTCCAATACACAAAAAGGCTTCAGAAACTTGTCCTTATGCTATATTTATATTATATTGAAACATTCTTTTCTTTAATAACTTAATGCACTCGTTATTGTTTTTTAACAATCAGTTAAAAATGGGTGTGTCATATTCCTGAGAAATTACCTAAAGCTGAAAGAATTCTAAATGATCTCAGTGTATGAGGATATACATTTAAGACTTTTTATCACCCACTCCGCTTATTAATTACAATTTCAAAAGTTGAAGCTAAGTATGCTATCGCAGTTTAATCAAGCAAAAATGTATCATCGAATGAGGGGAAAAACCTAATGAATAAGTTAAGCATTTGAAGATTTACTTTCAACTAACTACACTCTTAAATTGTAATTTTAATTAAGTTCAAATGTTTAAAATATTATAAGATGACTTTTTTTCTAAAATTTTAGCATAATAGAAAACCGAAGAACAAACCAACCAGTTTTTCTTCTGATAACTATAAATCGCATCAATGTATCTTAAAAAACTTATATTTATTTCCTTGTCTTGCTAATGACTGGGAACGAATGCACCTTATTTTCATTCCTAATTATATATACGTCTGCAGAAAGACTGTTTAAAAAATGGTTGCATCCATTATTTCATAAAATATTGATCTTAGACGTATATATCTAGTTTTAAAGCTTCTAAACATAAAAACAGAGAATTTATGAAAGTAGTTTTAACTTGAAATGTATTTTATCGAATCCGAATTAAGATTAAACTTGTCATATCAGCCAACTATTACAAATCTGTATTCTTTCAAGTTACAATAATAAAAAATAGAAAAATCTTTTATTTAAATTAATAGTT